ATCACTTGAAACACTAATGTAAGCAATGAATCGTTCAACATCTTCATTTTCGGTTAACAAATAAACTTTACCATTTCTCTGATAAGATAGCCTAAATCCACTTAGGGGCTCTAAATTCAATTTATTTGCAACACGTAACATTAGAGTTTCATAAATTAACTTTTGTAATGACAGTTTTAGTTGAAGATTCATGGGTAAAGACATATATTGTAAAACACCATGAACATTCTCCTATGACCCTCCAAAACACAAATCTATCCAAACATGATCAACATTAGATGATTTCATTATTGTAAATTAATTTACTAAACAAACGAGCTGCGAAACTAAAACCTGTTGCCGGATGGGGAAGGATGTCGTTGGATATAGGAACGGATGTCGCCGGAGAGAGTGATAGATGGAGATGGAATGAGTTGTGATTTAGGGATTTAGGTTATGAGTTGTTGTTGCTGCGTAGTTATATACCCAAAACATTTGTGTTGCGAAACTAAAACCTGTTGCGAATTCAGAAATCGAGTTGCGAATTTGAAATTTAGTATTGCGATAGTCAGAATCACATTGCGATAGTCAGAATCGCATTGCGATAGTCAGAATCTCGTTGCGATAGTCAGAATCGCGTTGCGATAGTCAGAATCTCGTTGCGATAGTCAGAATCGCGTTGCGATAGTCAGATTCGCGTTACGATTTACGTATTCGTAACGCGAATTAGGAAAATCGCAACGCGTATTTGGAAAATCGTAATGTGATAGTCAGAATCGCGTTGCGAATATGGAAACTGATTTGCGATACCGGAGATCGCGTTGCGAATTATCGATCGCATTGCGATTTAGTTGGTCATTTTGAAAAATCCAAAAAAAATTAGTTAAAATCATATATTATAAGATATTTTTAGTCACTGAAATTATTTTCTCTTTTATTTTTACAAACATATTGTTAATAATTGAAAAGAAATGTTCAAAAAATAATTGAAGAATAAACAATAATGAGGGGGAAATCTATCTTCTTCTAGGTTGATCATTTTTGGATTTAATTGAAAAACGTGGCATGATGTGAGGCAGACAATTTCCCAGCCACGACCATGAACGTACTATGCCCACGCCATTGTTTTTCTCTTCCTCAACAAAACCAGCTTCAGGCAGCAGCTCGAGGCATTAGCGTGCCTATTATGTTTGTGTTGTGTTGACGTCGTTTTCCGACACATACTCATTAAAATGCGCGCCCTCCTTACCTTGAGACCTCCGTGTATTTCTTGTTATTTCCCTCCTTCTTCCTCCTCCAATTCTTTTCTCTATAGCTGCTTTAGACCCAACAAGCGTTTCCACTTATTCAAGCCCTGTTCTTCCCTCAGACAAACGAAGAAACAACAGTCCCTTCAAAAGAGTCCACCAAATGCTCCTCAGAGTCTGAGGTGGTTCTTCAACCCCAAAAGCGACGGTGACGAGAAAATCAAAGGGGATGGAGATGGTAATGGAGAAATTGAAGGGGACACTGCACTTAAAGGTACCCTTTTGGCTGGAGTTTTACTTGTGGGTGCCGTTGGTGGATTTGGAATTGTAGGGTATATCTTCAAGGACCAGATCAATGCTTTTCTGAACCAGTTCTCCACTTTCATTGAAGGTATATGTCTTCGTGAAATCCAGACCCTTTTTCGCAATTAATCTATATTGGTATTGTATTTTGTGGATTGGGGGAACTTATTTATTTTGATAATTAGTTGAATTTGCGGATTTAGTTTTCTTCAGCCTATTATGTCTTCTATTGATTTGGGATTTAGCTTGCTTTCTTTCTTTTATTTGATGAACATGCCCTAGAATTTTACTGGTGGATGTTGCTTCAATAAACAGGTTATGGACCTGCTGGATATGCTCTGTTTGTAGCAGTTTATGCAGGACTGGAAGTAAGCATTTTTTTACCATCTTTCGTGCGTTACCTTTTTTTCATTCGGTTGTATTCAAAGCCCAGCATCGAGTTACTTTGCTTTCTAGATTTCTATGCTAGATGATGAGTGTACATTTCTCATCGAGGTAATAGAGTTGAGAATTTAAGTGTTTTTTCTTCTTCTCTGGCTTGTGGGTTATATTGTCTCCTGAAATATGTGCAATTTTATGTCATAAATCTCTTTTTCTCCGCTGTCCTCGTCTTTTGTTTTTCGTTGCAGAGATTTCAATCTGAACTTTCTATCCAAATGTTTAAGACCGCTATGTTGTAGGTCCTTGCTATTCCTGCTATTCCATTGACTATGTCTGCTGGTCTTCTTTTCGGCTCTGTCATCGGCACCATTATAGTCTCTATCAGTGGAACAGTAAGTTTATTCTCTTCCAAATAGAAGAGAGGAGAGAATGTTAGTGCACTGAAATCTATGTGTTAATCTTCTTTTAATCTTTTAGGTTGCGGCAAGTATTGCCTTTCTGATTGCTAGATACTTCGCTCGTGAGCGTATTCTAAAACTGGTTGAAGGGAACAAAAAGTTCCTTGCCATTGACAAAGCAATCGGAGAAAATGGCTTCAAAGTCCCTCCTTCGATTGAGCCCTTTGCTCCCATTTTCACTTGGGAATTATCTCTATGGATTAACATCTGTGAAGTTTGTGCCATATGTGTTGGGAAGGTTTGCTTCTTCATTTTCCAACTGATATGTGTGCTTGCTTTTGTTGTTTAAATGCTGTTAAAGTGGTTTTCATTATTCATTAATTTGAAAATTATTTGCATCTATGTTTAACTTACAAATCTTTTGTAAGTTTTTGTTATTAAAGAAAATCAATATTTATCAGCATGATAAAGAAGGTATAGGACTGATTATTCTACATGTTTTTAGGCGGCAACTCAATTTTAAAATCTGGTCCCTATCTCTATTTTACTTAATTTTATGTTGCAGAATATAGGTTTCTGCTGGTATGGTGGTCAACTGCATCATATTTTCCCATATAAATTATACTGATCCAGAAAAGATTTTTTGTTTTCGGTTTCGAAAACATTTATTTCTTTGGAATGATCAAAGTTTGTCATATTTGCACTATCATTAATCGAATTTCGAAGAGATTTACAAGATGTTGGCCAAAAGTGGCTGGAGTTTTGGAAAGAGGTCCTTCGTACTGGAGTCAATTCTGAGAGAAGAAAGGGACCTAACGAACAATTGTTTAGCCTACGGCTTTCTGTGATCTAAAGGCTAGATTATGATGTAAAACCAACTTAATGTTTGGTAGAACACTTATTGCCTTCAAATTTGGGAATAGAAGTTTGCTAAAAGTCTACCTGCCTTCCACTTTTTGCTCCAAACTGAGCCAATGATTGCCGTGCAGCTGGTTGGGGATGCTTCCAGGAACATGGGCTTATGTCAGTGCCGGTGCATTTGGTCGGGCAATTATTGTAAGTTTTCATTTGTATTCCTTTGGAAATGACCTACATGATCGAATTTCGGTCATTGAAACTTCATATTTCCTTATCCAAAAACTAAACTCTTGCTTTGCTTTTTCTTAGCATATTATGGTTCTCTCCTACTTCGTTTTTGAAGTGTCAACTTCTTGTCTACTGTAGAACAATTTCAACAACTTCTTTTTAGTTCTTGCTCGTGTTTCTGTTTGAATGGTTACACAGATGACAAATATTTTACTAGGAGTTTACTATTACATGGAACTAGTAATCTTTTTGCTACCTAATGACTTCAGTTACTGTGCTGATTATTCGAGTCAAAACCAATTTGGGTTTTCATCCCTACACCCATTTTAGGCCCTTTGAGTCTTTAAATTATTCAGTCTGTGGTGTTTAAGTGGCTGTTTTCATTGTTATGGTTAGTTATCATGCAATTGCCTGAGTTCTGTTTTATCAAATGGATTTTTTTCCCTCCATTTGGGAAATTTCCAGCAAGATGATTCAGAGTTTGGGATTGGTGGAGGAAATGGTATATTGACACTTGGACTCGGACTGTTGGCCACTGCTGTAGCGGCCGCTTATGTGACGCAGCTTGCAAAGGTAATGTCATTCCGCTACTTTCTCAGACTGTTGACCTTTGTATTGCCTATGTTCATATCATCAGTCCAAATTTCATTGGATGACTTCCAATTCCAAGAGGTATGGGGCAGGTTAGGATTAGCGGTTGTCCCAAAATCGCATTGCGTATTGTAGGCATTGAAAATGAATCATGTTCTCTCTCCATTCGAATTAACTATCTGATATCCGTTGCCTGGATTGTGATGATGCAGGATGCCGTAAAAGACATCGAATAAGCATTCAGGAATCGATTTTGGTACACTTAAAGTTGATGACAGTATAGTTGAAAATTGTAAAAATTGCGACTGCAAATCAAGCATATACATCAAAGCGTTGAATATCACCTTGTAGTAAATGTACCATCCTTTTTATTTTTGAAGTAAATCATTAGCAATGGCTATAAGTTGGCTTGAGGCAGTCAGCTCTGTACCCTTTTTAATTTAATTTGTAGTAGGGAATTGTTGTAGGAAGGATAGACGGAGCGGAGTTCCTGTAATTATTGCAATGTAACTATCAAATAAAAATATTGAATTTTGTAGTGAGCTTGTACAAACAACCAAATTATTGCGTACGCACGTAAATATGTAAAAGTTAATTATACAATTAATTTTAGGTTGGATTCAGTTAAATATTTTTTATTTTAAATTTAAATTTATTTTGTTCTCATCTTTCAAAAAAAAAAATCAGATTCGATTTGAATTTGAATAAGTTTTTTATGACTCTACGTGGTTCGATCTGAATCAATTAAATTTGAATCAAATCTCAGTTTTTAATTATAAATTAAAGTTAATACATGGCTAAACATATTAAAATCAAAATTAATTTTATAAAATATGATTAAATTAGTAATAAGAGATTTAGATTAAAATAAATTTGAAACTCCGTAATGGCCTCATCAGCTAAGAAAGACCGTTTTTAATGCGCACGCGGAGTTCAAATGGAAACGGGGAAGTGAATTTCATTGATATTTGTGTTTTGCTCCCCAAAAAATCATTTGTATTAATTAAAAGGGCAGGAAAGTGAGGGATAGGAGCATATACACTTTCCTATTGCCGCAATTGGCAATTATCAAGACTTGTTTTTCAGCTATCCTCGAATCCAGGTATTCAATTTCAATGCAATTTTCTGAATTTCATCTGCAAACAAAATCAATCATGAAAACAACCACGCTAGTTCCATTCCCGATCTGTGAATTTTTAGAATCTCCACCCATTATTATTAAGCAAAACCAACTTTTTTTAAAAAAAATAAAACTTCCAGATAGTCTGCTATATACTCTGTTTATCTGATGTTCTCTCGGATCATGTTTGAAGCTGGGTGCAATTTTGGGCCATTTCATAAGCACACACAAGATGTTCGATAAAAGTCTTGTTTGGGTTATTGCTTCTTTTGTTTTTGTTTTTTTAAAAGATTCATGCATGAATTTCATAACAAATGTTTCTTGGATGAAATGAAACAGTGAGTACAATAATATAACAAAGCACTAGGAATCTTTGAGTTGTTCATGAAAAAATGGGATTGGTTTCCATCTCAGAACCTAGATTTGCAAGTGGCTGCCCACAACTTATTATATCCCTTATTGAAGTTCTTTTTATATACATTCTGTATTCGTTATTTATAAAACATGCTACTCGTGATATGAACCTTAACAATGTTCGTCGCATGAATTTGCCAATCAGCTTGTTTAATCCTTGTAGTTGGACACTGTTTTCATCTTGGTTGCTTTGCTTATTCTTCCCCTTCTTGTCAACTGTAACAACTGATTGCTTTAGACTGTGTGCCGAATCCAAGCCTATTGGATTTTTATAACTTGATTAGATAATGTATTGGTGCTGTGTTCTTCTTAAGGTAAAGAAGCGATAGTTTAATTTTTTTTTAACCTCAAGTATTCAAGGTACTCAAGCCTATTGACTTGAAACAACAACCATCACTACATTCGTTCGAGTCTTCATTTCGCAAAGTACCCACATGCATGTCCAACACATGGGTATGGATATACGATTTCCAAGGATTCTCCAAATACAAAAAAAATATCTATTTATACCCAAGGTAAACATTTACCCATATTTGATACTCACACCCAAATCTGAGTAACATAAAACCATCATTACTGTTGCTGGTGGTTCATCTATAATGTGATTTGGGACTATTGGTGATGTTTTCTTTTCTGATTGATACTCTGATATGATTTGATGCTCTTGCTTGTTTTTGCGTCCGTTTATTTGTTTGATTGCCGTGTTATTGAATGTGAAAGTTTTTTGTTCGGCCTCTCTGCCCATTGTTTTATATGTTCAGTGAATCAGTTCATTTATGAATAGGGATTGGTGTTAATTCTTTCTATAGGTATGCTTGCCTAGTCCTGCTGATTTTAGTCGCACAATTCCAGTTGATTTTGAGTACCGTTCAAAATACGTCGGGAGCTGCTTTTAGAGACATCCGGTGCCTAATATAATTGATCAGCTGCAATGGGTGCATCCAAAGGGAAAAAGCTTTCTGGGATGCAAAAGCAAGTACTTAGTCTATACAGAGGATTTTTACGAGCAGCTCGTTCGAAGCCTGCTGAAGATCGACGCCAGATTGAATCAATTGTCTCGGCTGAGTTCCGTCGGAATTCGAATCAAGTGGATCGGAAAAATTTCCTCTATATTGAGTATTTGCTTCGACGTGGTAATAAGCAACTTGATCAGCTAAAAAGTCCTGATACGATAGGGTTATCATCCGTCAATGTCAGTTCATATAAGAACCAAAATGCCGATACTTGAACACAATATGTATAATGTAGCGTGTTATCACTATTTCTATACAAAAAAATGATATTTTTTCAATTTATTATCGAAGAAAAAGAAGTCCATTTTGATGTTTTTAATGTATTGAATCTATTTACTACTTTATTGTACTTAATACTGGCTGAGAAATATCTGTAATTTGACATTAAGGGAAGCGTTTCCCTGAAATTCATGTGGTTTTCTTGCATGCATTTGAATGAACGTGAGCATATTTTGGTAAATGATTATAAAGAACTTGAACGAAATAAAAGGTTAGGGTTTAGGTTGTCTAATTTAAAATTAATAAAGATCTTAAAGTCATTAATTCGAAAAAGTTAAGGGGTTAGGACCTAATTGCATCGACTTCAAATTAATAAAGATTTAAAAAGTCATATTCCTGTACATCTTCATGATCTCAGCACAGCCAGCTTCAGGATCATCAGTCTCGAAGCCATGGCATTGGCATAGCGGGCGGTGGATTCAATGACGTAGTTCGGTCGAGATCACATCGTCACGCAATCATGTTCACGATCTGGGGTCATGGTGGCATAGTTAGGGTAGGAGCTCTTCACAAGAACTACATCATAGATCTCATCCCAGTGGTCCTCAGGGAACTGGTATTTTCCGGTTTCATCGGTGCATCGCTCCTTCTTGTAGACATCTCTATCCGGAGGCGGATTGACGTTTGGTTAGTGGGGTCTATTGACCCCATTTGTGTCTAAAAGATCTTTGTAAAAAAGGAAAGTTTGGGAGAGCAAAAAAGATTAAATATACTTAAACTCATTTAATTCACCACATGAACCTATTTAATACGAAGTTTAGATCCGCCACTAATTTTGATCCTTCTTTCTGTCATGACATACCACCTTAACCGTGACATCTGCAAAAGCACATGATACCAGCAAACCAATATTCAAAACCAAAACACAACTATGAATAAAAAAACATTTTTTATACCAAAGTTATACATTTTATTATTTTTAAGTGTGTAATGTTTTTTTTGTTCCAATTAGACGCTAAAATTTTCAAAATTATTATTTTAAGGTCAATTCCATCATGGATGTTAATTTTTTTATCAACCACCCAAAATGAAATATGTGTCATGCATATAATTATATAAATATTATTTTTAAAAATTAAAATTATTTTTTAAAAAACTTAAATTTCTCTAAAATCTAAAAAACTCTAAAAAAAACTCCAATAACAAATCTGACCATCACCGCCGGTCAACCACCATCGTTGTTGAACACCCATTTATCCATCATTCATCCCTTATCAATTAAAACTTTTAAAATATATATTCATTAAGTTTTAATTTAATAAAAAATATTATTGACCTGATATAATATTATAAATACATATAATAATATTGTTATCATTTTAATTTATGTGTATTTATCATATCAATAAAAATATTTATAGATAATTAATTAACTGTTTTATAAAAGTAATTTAAATTTAAACGTTAAATGTTCAAATAATTTGCAAAATATAATAATTAATGTGACTATTAAATTAAATATTGAAGATAAATATTGATATTATGACCCAAAAAACTAAAAAGCAGGCCAGACAAAAAAAGCAAAAGAAAAGAGAGAGAAATTGTGATATTTTTCCAACAATAAATCGGCCTTAAACCCTAATACTTTCACCCAACGAGCTCGATCTTTTTATCACTTCCTCCATCCTCATCCAGCATTATCTTGCTCCCATTGCTGTGCAATTTGTCCTTTCTTCTCAAAACCCTAGATTAGCTATCCTTTTTCGTACATTTTGATGGCGGAAGAAGAGGTCGTAGCCGCTACACCCAGTCCCGTCCCTTCCGATCATAAACGGAAACTTGAGGTTATCGAACCCCAAGATTCCTCTGTCGACATGCCTCCTGACTCTTCTGTAGACCCTGATGCGGAAGATAACGATGTGACGTCACCTGATTCTTATGACGCCAAACGCCATAGGTTATACGAGGATAATACCGATGCTTTGGGTAATGAAAATGTTCTCCGCTCTTTGCTTCTCTTTTGGTTTTATATGCAGTTTTAGGAATGGAGTTATGGGATTAAAACGACAGCTATATGGTTTCCTTGCTGTTTTTCTACGATTTTTGTTTTGGAAAATTAAAGATGTTTAAGATTGTGAGTTTTTATGTGATAGGTGAATATGAAGTAAGAAGATTAAGGCTCCATTTAGTTATTTATTTTAATACTTATTTTTTCTGTTATTTGCCTTTGTTTGAAAATTGCTAAGTGTAAGAGCCAATGTTTGGAGCCTACGATTGAAATGTAGAAATGCATTATGTGAATTTAGGAAAGTTTGATGTTAGTTTTTAATAATTGAAAATGTGGTATTAAACACCTTTATTTTTTCAATTTTTGTGAAGAGAGCAAAAAGAAATAGCTAAAGCGATCACAAAAACAAAACAAAACACCTTGTTGTTGCTTTACATATCAACTGTTCTAATTCTATGATTCTTATGCTTAACATAACAGCCGGTGAGAATGGGTTCCAAGCTGAGGAATCGGACGAGCCTGCAAAGGAGGAAGAGGAGGCTCCTCAGCAAATTGAGGTTAACAAGCAAGCAGAGGATGATGACTCTTCTTCAAAGGAGGCTCACGATAATGTACAATCCGAGCAAGTTGAAGGAACTACGCAGGAAACAGGTCAGCAGTCTGCAGATAATCTTGAAACTGCTGATGCTGATTTAGGTAAAGTTGAGAGTTATGAGGCAGATAATGATCAAGAACC